GATCATGAAGCCATAGAATTGTCTAGGTTGGAAGGGTCCTTTAAGATCATAAAGTTTAACCATCAACCTAACACTGCCAAAAACACCATTAAACCATGTCCCTCAGCAGCATGTCTACTTGACTTTTTAAATATCTCCAGGGATGATGACTCAATCACTGCCCCGGGCAGCCTGTTCCAATGTTTGATAACCCTTTTGGTGAAGAAATTTTTCCTAATACCCAATCTAAACTTCCCCCGGCACACTTGGAGGCATTTTCCCCTTGTCCTATTGCCTGTTACTTGGGAGAAGAGACTGACCCTGACCTTGCTACAAGCTCCTTTTGGGTAGTTGTAGAGAGTGATAAGGTCTCCCCTGAGCCTCCTTTTCTCCAGGCTGAACAACCCCAGTTCCCTCAGCTACTCCTCGTAAGACTTGTGCTCTAGACACTTCACGAACTTCATTGCCCTTCTTTGGACGTGCTTCACCATCTCAGTGTCTTTCTTGTAGTGAGGGGCCCAAAACTGAACACAGTACTTCAGGTGTGGCCTCACCAGGGCCAAGTATAGTGGGACGATGACTTCCCTAGTCCTGCTGGCCACACTATTCCTGATAAATGCTGTTGGCTTTCTTGGCCACCTGGGCACACTGCTGGCTCGTATTCAGCCGGATGTCAACCAGCACTCCCAGGTCCTTTTCTGCCGGGCAGCTTTCCAGCCACTCTTCCCCAAGCCTGTAGCGCTGCATGGGGTTGTTGTGACCCAAGTGCAGGACCCGGCACTTGGCCTTGTTGAAGCTCATAACATTAAATACATACACCTGTATTTGCTTGAAGTCTATTTTCAGTTTATGTGATGTCTGATCACAGTGTAACCTGGTCTTTAAAAGATGCATTGGAAAGTGGTTTTTCTTACCTTATTTCACAATCTCATGTGTCGTGTCCCCTTCCCCACCCCCTTAGAACAATGCTTAGTCACTTCTATTTGAAGGAGTCTAAAGGCATACGGCTCCAGAAACTGTAAACGTTTTTAACAAGCTTTATTTGTTCTTTTTCTTCCACTTCTGCACTCTGTTGTAAAATGGTTTTAGCGGTGACCATATTACCAGGGTTTGTTCTTTTTAATTTAGCAGTTATTGATAACAGTATAAGAAGATACTGCCTACCAAAACTTTCGGTTCTGAAGAAAGAGTAGTTTAACTACTTGCTGTCAGCTTAGTACAGACTAGAACTTCTTGTGTGTTTTGTGTTTTTGTATGGGGGAAAAAGTACATGTACATTTCTCTGAGAGGTGAGAGTAATTCATATTTGAATATGAAATACTGGATCATAACACTTTAGAATTAAGCCACTGTTGCTGTTGCCCAGTATGCAGTTGGTTTAAGCTGTCAGCGTACGCTCTTCAAAAATTCAGGTCAAACCTGAGCAACAACAATAGCATGTTAAACTTAACTCTACATCATTTTCTACAACTTTATTTTAATTTTTGCTATTGGCAGGTAGCTCATATTCATACCAGAGCGAGAGCAAGATCTCTGTGTGTATATGTGGTTGACTAGAAACAAGTAAACAAAAGGCCCCAACCTGTGTCTTAATTTTCTTTGTGATGTTAAAAAGAACAACTTTTTTTTTTTTAAACAAACAAAATACAAAAAAACTCCACCCATAAGCATGCTTTGAGTTGAGACCTTGACAGGGTCTGCCAAATCTATCTCTGCTGTTGTCAAGATTGGGTAGCTGGGGTGGGACTTTCTGTTGCTGTTTAATACTCTTTGATTTTTGTTAATGCTTAACTTCAGTGACTGCCAGATTTGTCATACATACCCCCCCCCCAAGGCCTTAACTTCCCCAGTCCTCTCAGGTAGGGGGTCAGCATTGACACTTACCTGTCTTTTCTTTTTGAATAAAGTCGGTAGTTTAAACTAAGGGATTCCAAAAGTGATATATCATGACATGTCACAGGTATAAACTCGAATGTGCATATGTCTTTTCAAGAGGGAAGATACTGGAGTAGAGTATGATCTTCATGGTTTTAGGAAAAAGTAAAATAGAAGTCTGAGATTATTGATCATTAGCATTTTCTGGCTAAAATATAATGTGTATATACAACATTAAAGTTGGAAAAATGAGCACCTAAAGTTTATTTCTCAGTGATAATTTACTTTTAATTTTAAAAGCAGCTAGCAAATGCTATCTTTGAAGTTTGTTGATTTTGTGGAAGGTAGGGTGTGGGGAGAGGATATACCTTTGCTTGTTCGTCTTACAGTAACTTTAATGACTTGCTGTCATTTAAACAAACGAACATGGGTTAACTAGCACAAGTTAGTTTATGGCATCCTTAAATGAGTTTAACAAACTTTCTTGCCAAATGCCATTTTTTCTATTGGTTTACAAAGGTACTTCTTTGATACCTTTTGGTGTGCTACAGAAGCCTTAGACTTTAGTCTTTAACTTCAGCAGGTGTAAACAATTGAGCTTCAACTTAAATGTTTTTATCTGGAAATAACCTATCTTCCCTTCAATACTAATATATGTTAAAATGTAAGCTTCATTGTATCTTCCGGAGCTGTAAAATTTTCTAGAAGGCAGCAGTGTTGAGAATTGTTGCGTACCATCCCAGTGAAAGTGTTCTTATTAACTCCTCAACCTTCAAACACAGGTGAAACATTTGTACAGGAAGGTCCTGTGCTTTTGACAGCATGCTTATTTAATTCTTGTAAAATGTAAGAACATAAAAGCAGTACCTGTAAAAATGGGAACTGTTAAGACAAAAAACAGTTACAAAAGATGTGTATCAGGTGATTGATTTAATAGGTTGTTTAAAGCTCTTGTTCTCACAAACAGTTTCAATGCTTATTTTGTGCCCTGTGATCATTCTTTGATGGTCCTGTACGGGTTGGAGATAATACTGGTTTAAGTCATGTCAAGATGGTGTTTTGTGAAGACAGATCTGCACATTGCACTGCCAGGGTTGTGCTGTAAACTAGATCAGGGAAGCGATCTGACGTTTGGTTAGTTTTTATGTATTGTAATTTTGGGGGCAAGATGAAGGATTATTTTTAAGTGATTAGTCTCAAATTGGTGAAGCATGGCCCTTAGAAGCAGGGAGAAGACAGAGGGCTCAGTCAGCGTAACTGACTTCAGGAGTCTGCTTCACTGAATCTGGGTCTGAGTGACATAGAGTCTGCTTTGAAATCTAGTAACAGCCTCTGTTTATCAATGAAGCCTAATATCTGTTGGATACAGTTTATAATTATGGGTAGGTGAAAATGAGAGATCATCAGGAAATTTCTACACAACTAAAATACTGATTGCTTTAGATCACTGCTTTAAAAAACTGTAAAAATAAACTGCAAAATCTTAATTTGAAAAGCAAACTTACTTTTTCAAATTAATAGTTGGCAAAAGAGGAGAAATTGTAGTTCAAATTTAACTACCTGCTTTGTGGTATAAGTAAAAATATTCATAACATCCAAGGGATATTTATGTATTGAGACCTTTTGTTTTCTGGCTGCTTTGTTTCATAGCAGCTAAGTAGCTGAAGCTACTATTTGTGTTAGCATTCCTAAATGTGTTTTTTTTTTTTTGTGAAAAAGAGAGAAAATGTTTTAGTGGCATCTTTTGTTCTTAATTACTGTTATATATAATTCATCTGGACAGCATTTTTTAAATGTTTACACTCACACATGAAGTCCTAAGGTCTATGTGATTTGTTCAGCTGCTACCAAATTCTTCATTAGGTGATTAAAACCTCTTAGTTGAAGAAAGTAATATCAAATAATGTTCCCAGACATGATTACCTGGGTATTGATTTTTTGTTTTATTAAATGTAGTTTTTCAGTGTTTTTTTCCCTGCTTTGCTTTTTTTTCCCTTTTGCTAACAAGCAAAGGGACAAATGTGCTAGAACTTGCTTTGTGAGAAACTTACATTGCAACTGAATTTATTTCAAACAAATTATAGTACTTAGAACACTTTTAAAATGGATTTAACTTCTGGAAAATTATATTAGGTTTTGTTGATTCCTAACAATTTTAAGATGTTCTTTTTTTAATACTTAGTTTTCATGGAAATGAGGAATGAAGTCCTGAGGAGATGATGACAACAGATTATGGAAGTAAAAGTGAAGTTGTACTGTAGTTTTTCCTCACATAATACGTAGTTAGCCTGAAAAATTGTTTCTCATTTTGTATGATAGAAATGGTATATAACATGTATAAACACGAGGGACTGATAATACAGCCGCATACAGGGAAATGTCATCCTTGCCAAGAATGGGCCTTTCACATAAGCCGTCGGCTTCTCTATGGAAGTTGAAGGAGGCCAAACTGATGATAAAGCTTTTTCTCTGGTAGAATAAACAATTGAATTCAGGAAAAAAGCATTTAGTAATCACCGTTGTAGTAATCATGGAATCCAAAAACTTGTATGTTACACAGTTCAGTTTTAAAACACTTAGAATTACTAGCCTTAAAGCTCAAACTGTTCTGAAAATAAGGCTTAAATGTGTACCCATAATGAAAAAATACATGGCTGTTCTTCATCCATGATGGTCATCTGGGAAAGCTGCTATTAGTTTTCATAGTATGATGATCTAGGATAGCTGTTAGTACTTTTCACATTATGATGATAATTTTACTGCTGTGTTTCTGGTGAAGTTCCTTTGCGTGTTCTCCTCTCACTTTTTGCAACATTGAAATATGGGGGGTTGACCTGAGAGTATTGTCCTTGTACTTGAAGTTTGGCTCCATGTCTATTTGTGTAGCTTGAAAAGTGCAAGGCAAGGATGCTGTGAGAGTTTGTATTTGGACTGTTTACCAGTGAAGTAGGTCCTTGCAGATTTAACTCGTTGTGGTGGGTTAGGTTTACTTTAGGCTTACTTTCCTATTTAGAGAAACACTTGTATGAAGTAAAATGTCATGTTAAGGAAACCTGAGGGACGTAGAGAGAGTACTGCTTACATCCCTGGTACTTGTGCTAGGCAAAGTCTAGCACAAACTTCTGTTATTCTCCCTCCACACCGTAATGAAGTAAGGCAATATGTAATATTGCCATCATGGATTGAGCTGACGTTGTTTGTCTAACCATCCTCTTATGCTAGCCAGAAGAAAAGTCAGCTTAAAGCAAACTATGATGCTGTTGGACTCAAAATGTACTAAAACCTCCTTACTTAGGTGAACGTTTTGAGTATGTGAAGTCAGCTGGTGTAAAAGATCATGCCTTATAGCAGCTTGTAACGCTGCAATCAATATTTAGAGTTGGAGACAGGTAATTCTACTGTTGTCCTTAATAATACAGATTTAACATAGATTGGTCAGGGATGTAAATGCCAACAGTAGGCTTAACTTTTTATTTCCTTAGTATGTGTTTCTTGTCTGCTACTCTGATGAGGAAAAAAAAAATGTAATTTTGTTTTGTTTTGTTTCTGTCAATAACTTTATCTAATTGCCTTCATTAGTCCCGTTACAACCCAGGGATCACAAACACAGCAACTACAGAAGCATTATGGCATTACCTCACCTATCAGTTTAGCTGCCCCCAAGGAGTTTGACTGCATGCTTACCCAGAAATTAATCGAAACCCTAAAACCTTACGGTGTATTTGAAGAGGAAGAAGAACTGCAACGCAGGTGAGTAAATGCTTGTTCTAGTAATGGTTTTCTCCTATCTTGAGGTTCATGTAGTTGACTACTGAACCCCAAGTGTGTTTATGTTCTTTTAAATGCTTTATTAAAAGCCTAGTGGAATATAAAGCTTTATTTTTTTAATTATTATTTTTTATTCACCCCCCCCAAGAGGAATACCTGAGAGCACAGAAAGGAATTTAAAATGGCCTTTAAATTTTGGAGGCTGGCTTGCATCCTCCCCTTCCCCCCTTCATAACTGTTTTGTTGTAGTGGCCTCCATGCTTTTTTGCCCCACTTATTAAGCTTTCTAGAGTTTTGTTTCTCTCAGTACTGCTTTTCACTGTTTGTTTAGGTGCATGTGTGTTATAAATTAAGGTTTTGTTTTGAAAGTGAGTAGAATTAGTATACCTAAAGTGTGCGTAAGCTTTGCATGCTTGTGTTTTTTCTGAGCTTAATCACTTGAACATCTTTAAAGGGGAAAAAATAGTGGGAATGTTGTAAGTGTGACTGTTTCAGTGTATATATAACAAGATCTGTAATTAGGTCTGCAATGTTACTGTAATTGACTTACTGTAATGATGATCAGGGTCTTAAAAATACTACTATTTTGGTCTAAGTTCATGACCTGTGATTCTGCTGTTTTATCATTAGGATTCTAATTTTGGGAAAATTAAATAACCTGGTAAAGGAATGGATACGGGAAATCAGTGAAAGCAAGGTATGGATGTATTTTACGTGGAACTGCTTATACTAAGACTGCTGTAGGAAGATAATACCAAAATATATTCCCAGTCTAAACAGGATGAATCTTAGATTTGGGGATCAAATTTGATCAAATTGGAAACACAAATACCACCTTTGTGTAGCTGCTTTTGTTTCCAGGTAGCGTCACCCCTTCAAAGTAGAACTTTGTCAAAGAAAGAAACTGATAAATATTGGGAAAAGTCATGGCAGTTGTAATAGAAGTTCCCAGTTGTTCGATCCTTGTTCTCCCTAGGTAGAAATTTAGCTTGACTTTTTTGTCAAAATCCGTATGTATAGTACTATGTTAATTATATGCTTTGATTGTTTGGCTTTGTGAACCAGTGCTACATCTTAAAATGGGCTTTTTGCAGCTTTATGATCTGTGGTACTTTTCTTTAATGTGAGTCCTCTGATGTTACTTTTGTAGACTCTAATAACGGTAGGAGTGGTTTTGCCAGGATATAGTCGCCTCTTCCCGCCCCCCCCC